TTTTAGATTCCTGGTCAGTTGAACATCGCAGCTTGTATAAAATTCTCAAAGACAATTTAATTAAAAGATATAAATTGGCCTCTCGTATTTGTTGTCTTATTACAAGAGAATATATAACACACGACGTGCAGTTCATGTCACAAGAATCCGATTGTATGCCATACATGTGTTTTCCCGATAAATAGGAAACGCTTTCAAATGATAACGTCCCATATGTTCTAGTGGTTAGGAATTGGCGCTTTCACCGCCAAGGCCCGGGTTCAATTCCTGGTGTGGGAACACACCTGTTTTAGATTCCTGGTCAGTTGAACATCGCAGCTTGTATAAAACGCTCATAGACAATTTAATTAAAAGATATAAATTGGCCTCTCGTATTTGTTGCCTTATTACAAGAGAATATATAATACACGACGTGCAGTTCATGTCACAAACATCTGATTGTATGCCATACTTATGTTTTCCCGATAAATAGGAAACGCCTTCATACGACAACGTCCCATATGGTCTAGTGGTTAGGATTTGGCGTTTTCACCGCCAAGGCCTGGGTTCAATTCCCGGTGTGGTAACTCCTGTTTTAGATTCCTGGTCAGTTGAACATCGCAGCTTGTATAAAATGCTCATAGACAATTTAATTAAAAGATATAAAATGGCGTCTCGTATTTGTTGCCTTATTACAAGAGAATATATAATACACGACGTGCAGTTCATGTCACAAATATCGTATTATATGCCTTACTTGTGTTTTCCCGATAAATAGGAAACGCCTTCATACGACAACGTCCCATATGGTCTAGTGGTTAGGATTTGGTCTAGTGGTTAGGATTTGGCGCTTTCACCGCCAAGGCCCGGGTTCAATTCCCGGTGTGGGCACACCTGTTTTAGATTTCTGGACAGTTGAACATCGCAGCTTGTATAAAATGTTCATAGACAATTTAATTAAAATATATAAATTGGCCTCTCGTATGTGTTGCCTTATTACAAGAGAATATATAATACACGACGTGCAGTTCATGTCACAAGCATCCGATTGTATGCCATACTAGTGTTTTCCCGATAAATAGGAAACGCTTTCAAATGACGGCGTCCCATATGGTCTAGTTGTTAGGATTTGGCGCTTTCACCGCCAAGGCCCGGGTTCAATTCCCGGTGTGGAACATCTGTTTTAGATTCCTGGTCAGTTGAACATCGCAGCTTGTATAAAACGCTCATAGACAATTTAATTAAAATATATAAATTGGCCTCTCGTATTTGTTGCCTTATTACAAGAGAATATATAATACACGACGTGCAGTTCATGTCACAAACATCTGATTGTATGCCATACTTGTGTTCTCCCGATAAATAGGAAACGCCTTCATACGACAACGTCCCATATGGTCTAGTGGTTAGGATTTGGCGTTTTCACCGCCAAAGCCCGGGTTCAATTCCCGGTGTGGTAACACCTGTTTTAGATTCCTGGTCAGTTGAACATCGCAGCTTGTATAAAATGCTCATAGACAATTTAAATAAAAGATGTAAATTGGCCTCTCGTATTTGTTGCCTTATTACAAGAGAATATATAATACACGACGTGCAGTTCATGTCACAAGTATCGTATCATATGCATTACTTGTGTTTTCCCGATAAATAGGAAACGCCTTCATACGTCAACGTCCCATATGTCTAGTGGTTAGGATTTGGCGCTTTCACCGCCAAGGCCCGGGTTCAATTCCAGGTGTGGGAACACCTGTTTTAGATTCCTGGTCAGTTGCACATCGCAGCTTGTATAAAATTCTCAAAGACAATTTAATTAAAAGATATAAATTGACCACTCGTATTTGTTGCCTTATTACAAGAGAATATATAATACACGACTTGCATTTCATGTCACAAGCATCCGATTGTATGCCATACTTGTGTTTTCCCGATAAATAGGAAACGCCTTCAAATGTCAACGTCCCATTTGGTTTAGTGGTTAGGATTTGTCGCTTTCACCGCCAAGGCTCGGGTTCAATTCCCGGTGTGAGAACACCCGTTTTAGATTCCTGGTCAATTGAACATCGCAGCTTGTACAAAATTCTCAAAGACAATTTAAATAAAAGATTTAGAGAATATATCTCGTATTTGTTGCCTTATTACAAGAGAATATATAATACACGAAGTGCAGTTCATGTCACAAGTATCGTATCATATGCCTTACTTGTGTTTTCCCGATAAATAAGAATAAGTATCCTATTATATGCCTTACTTGTGTTTTCCCGATAAATAGGAAACGCCTTCATACGACAACGTCCCATATGGTCTAGTGGTTAGCATTTGGCGCTTTCACCGCCAAGGCCCGTGTTCAATTCCCGGTGTGGGAATACCTGTTTTAGATTCCTGGTCAGTTGAACATCGCAGCTTGTATAAAATGCTCATAGACAATTTAAATAAAAGATGTAAATTGGCCTCTCGTATTTGTTGCCTTATTACAAGAGAATATATAATACACGACGTGCAGTTCATGTCACAAGTATCGTATCATATGCATTACTTGTGTTTTCCCGATAAATAGGAAACGCCTTCATACGTCAACGTCCCATATGTCTAGTGGTTAGGATTTGGCGCTTTCACCGCCAAGGCCCGGGTTCAATTCCAGGTGTGGGAACACCTGTTTTAGATTCCTGGTCAGTTGCACATCGCAGCTTGTATAAAATTCTCAAAGACAATTTAATTAAAAGATATAAATTGACCACTCGTATTTGTTGCCTTATTACAAGAGAATATATAATACACGACTTGCATTTCATGTCACAAGCATCCGATTGTATGCCATACTTGTGTTTTCCCGATAAATAGGAAACGCCTTCAAATGTCAACGTCCCATTTGGTTTAGTGGTTAGGATTTGTCGCTTTCACCGCCAAGGCTCGGGTTCAATTCCCGGTGTGAGAACACCCGTTTTAGATTCCTGGTCAATTGAACATCGCAGCTTGTACAAAATTCTCAAAGACAATTTAAATAAAAGATTTAGAGAATATATCTCGTATTTGTTGCCTTATTACAAGAGAATATATAATACACGAAGTGCAGTTCATGTCACAAGTATCGTATCATATGCCTTACTTGTGTTTTCCCGATAAATAAGAATAAGTATCCTATTATATGCCTTACTTGTGTTTTCCCGATAAATAGGAAACGCCTTCATACGACAACGTCCCATATGGTCTAGTGGTTAGCATTTGGCGCTTTCACCGCCAAGGCCCGTGTTCAATTCCCGGTGTGGGAATACCTGTTTTAGATTCCTGGTCAGTTGAACATCGCAGCTTGTATAAAATTCTCAAAGACAATTTATTTAAAAGATATAAATTGGCCTCTCGTATTTGTTGCCTTATTACAAGAGAATATAAAATACACGACGTGCAGTTCATGTCACAAGTATCATATTATATGCCTTACATGTGTTTTCCCGATAAATAGGAAACGCCTTCATACTTCAACGTCCCATATGTCTACTGGTTAGGATTTGGCGCTTTCACCGCCAAGGCCCGGGTTCAATTCCAGGTGTGGGAACACCTGTTTTAGATTCCTGGACAGTTGAACATCGCAGCTTGTATAAAATGCTCATAGACAATTTAATTAAAAGATATAAATTGGCGTCTCGTATTTGTTGCCTTATTACAAGAGAATATATAATGCACGTCGTGCAGTTCATGTCACAAGTATCCTGTTATATGCCTTACTTGTGTTTTCCCGATAAATAGGAAACGCCTTCATTCGACAACGTCCCATATGGTCTAGTGGTTAGGATTTGGCGCTTTCACCGCCAAGGCCCGGGTTCAATTCCCGGTGTGGGAATACCTGTTTTAGATTCCTGGTCATTTGAATATCGCAGCTTGTATAAAATTCTCAAAGACAATTTAATTAAAAGATATAAATTGGCCTCTCGTATTTGTTGCCTTATTACAAGAGAATATATAATACACAACTTGCATTTCATGTCACAAGCATCCGATTGTATGCCATACTCGTGTTTTCCCGATAAATAGGAAACGCTTTCAAATGTCAACGTTCCATATGGTCTAGTGGATAGGATTTTGTGCAGTTCATGTCACAAGCATCCGATTGTATGCCGTACTTGTGTTTTCCCGATAAATAGGAAACGCCTTCATACGACAACGTCCCATATGGTCTAGTGGTTAGGATTTGGCGCTTTCACCGCCAAGGCCCGGGTTCATTTCCCGGTGTGGGAACACCTGTTTTAGATTCCTGGCAGGTGTACATCGCAGCTTGTATAAAATGCTCATAGACAATTTAATAAAAATATATAAATTGCCCTCTCGTATTTGTTGCCTTATTACAAGAGAATATATAATACACGACGTGCAGTTCATGTCACAAGCATCCGATTGTATGCCATACTTGTGTTTTCCCGATAAATAGGAAACGCCTTCATACGACAACGTCCCATATGTCTTGTGGTTAGGATTTGGCGCTTTCACCGCTTTCACCGCCAAGGCCCGGGTTCAATTCCCGGTGTGGGAACACCTGTTTTAGATTCCTGGTCAGTTGAACATCGCAGCTTGTACAAAATTCTCAAAGACAATTTAATTAAAAGATATAAATTGGCCTCTCGTATTTGTTGCCTTATTACAAGAGAATATATAATACACGACTTGCAGTTCATGTTACAAGCATCCGATTGTATGCCATACTCGTGTTTTCCCGATAAATAGGCAACGCTTTCAAATGTCAACGTCCCATATGGTCTAGTCGTTAGGATTTGTCGCTTTCACCGCCAAGGCTCGGGTTCAATTCCCGGTGTGAGAACACCCGTTTTAGATTCCTGGTCAATTGAACATCGCAGCTTGTACAAAATTCTCAAAGACAATTTAAATAAAAGATTTAGAGAATATATCTCGTATTTGTTGCCTTATTACAAGAGAATATATAATACACGACGTGCAGTTCATGTAACAAGCATCCGATTGTATGCCATACTTGTGTTTTCCCGATAAATAGGAAACGCGTTCAAATGACGACGTCCCATATGGGTCTAGTGGTTAGGATTTGGCGCTTTCATCGCCAAGGCCCGGGTTCAATTCCCGGTGTGGGAACATCTGTTTTAGATTCCTGGTCAGTTGAACATCGCAGCTTGTATAAACGCTCATAGACAATTTAATTAAAAGATATAAATTGGCCTCTCGTATTTGTTGCTTATTACAAGAGAATATATAATACACGACGTGCAGTTCATGTCACAAGTATCTATTATATGCGTTACTTGTGTTTTCCCGATAAATAGGAAACGACTTCATACGACAACGTCCCATATGGTCTAGTGGTTAGATTTGGCGCTTTCACCGCCAAGGCCCGGGTTCAATTCCTGGTGTGGGAACACCTGTTTTAGATTCCTGGTCAGTTGAACATCGCAGCTTGTATAAAATGCTCATAGACAATTTAATTAAAAGACATAAATTGGCCTCTCGTATTTGTTGCCTTAGTACAAGAGAATATATAATACACGACGTGCAGTTCATGTCACAAATATCCGATTATATGCCTTACTTGTGTTTTCCCGATAAATAGGAAACGCCTTCATACGTCAACGTCCCATATGTCTTGTGGTTAGGATTTGGCGCTTTCCCCGCCAAGGCCCGTGTTCAATTCCCGGTGTGGGAACACCTGTTTTAGATTCCTGGTCAGTTGAACATCGCAGCTTGTATAAAATGCTCAAAGACAATTTAATTAAAAGATATAAATTGGCCTCTCGTATTTGTTGCCTTATTACAAGAGAATATATAATACACGACGTGCAGTTCATGTCACAATTATCCTATTATATGCCTTACTTGTGTTTTCCTGATAAATAGGAAACGCCTTCATACGACAACGTACCATATGTCTAGTGGTTAGGATTTGGCGCTTACACCGCCAAGGCCGGGTTCAATTCCCGGTGTGGGAACACCTGTTTTAGATTCCTGGTCAGTTGAACATCGCAGCTTTTACAAAATTCTCAAAGACAATTTAAATAAAAAGATATAAATTGGCCTCTCGTATTTGTTGCCTTATTACAAGAGAATATATAATACACGACGTGCAGTTCATGTCACAAGTATCGTATTATATGCCTTACTTGGGTTTTCCCGATAAATAGGAAACGCCTTCAAACGTCGTCGTCCCATATGGTCTAGTGGTTAGGATTTGGCGCTTTCACTGCCAAGGCCCGGATTCAATTCCCGGGGTGGGAACACCTGTTTTAGATTCCTGGTCAGTTGAACATCGCAGCTTGTATAAAATGCTCATAGACAATTTAATTAAAATATATAAATTGGCCGCTCGTCTTTGTTGCCTTATTACAAGAGAATATATAATACACGACGTGCAGTTCATGTCACAACTATCCGATTGCATGCCATACTTGTGTTTTCCCGATAAATAGGAAACGCCTTCAAATGTCATCGTCCCATATGGTCTAGTGATTAGGATTTGGCGCTTTCAACGCCAAGGCTCGGATGCAATTCCCGGTGTGGGAACACCTATTTTAGATTCCTGGTCAGTTGAACATCGCTGCTTGTATAATATGCTCATAGACAATTTAATTAAAAGATATAAATTGGCCTCTCGTATTTGTTGCCTTATTACAAGGGAATATATAATACACGACGTGCAGTTCATGTCACAAGTATCCGATTATATGCCTTACTTGTGTTTTCCCGATAAATAGGAAACGCCTTCATACGTCAACGTCCCATATGGTCTAGTGGTTAGGATTTGGCGCTTTCACCGCCAAGGCCCGGGTTCAATTCCCGGTGTGGGAACACCTGTTTTAGATTCCTGGTCAGTTGAACATCGCTGCTTGTATAATATGCTCATAGACAATTTAATTAAAAGATATAAATTGGCCTCTCGTATTTGTTGCCTTATTACAAGAGAATATATAATACACGACGTGCAGTTCATGTCACAAGTAGCCTATTATATGCCTTACTTGTGTTTTCCCGATAAATAGGAAACGCCTTCATACGTCAACGTCCCATATGGTCTAGTGGTTAGGATTTGGTGCTTTCACCGCCAAGGCTCGGTTTCAATTCCCGGTGTGGGAACACCTGTTTTAGATTCCTGGTCAGTTGAACATCGCAGCTTTTACAAAATTCTCAAAGACAATTTAAATAAAAGATATAAATTGGCCTCTCGTATTTGTTGCCTTATTACAAGAGAATATATAATACACGACGTGCAGTTCATGTCACAAGTATCGTATTATATGCCTTACTTGGGTTTTCCCGATAAATAGGAAACGCCTTCAAACGTCGTCGTCCCATATGGTCTAGTGGTTAGGATTTGGCGCTGTCACTGCCAATGCCCGGATTCAATTCCCGGGGTGGGAACACCTGTTTTAGATTCCTGGTCAGTTGAACATCGCAGCTTGTATAAAATGCTCATAGACAATTTAATTAAAATATATAAATTGGCCGCTCGTCTTTGTTGCCTTATTACAAGAGAATATATAATACACGACGTGCAGTTCATGTCACAACTATCCGATTGCATGCCATACTTGTGTTTTCCCGATAAATAGGAAACGCCTTCAAATGTCATCGTCCCATATGGTCTAGTGATTAGGATTTGGCGCTTTCAACGCCAAGGCTCGGATTCAATTCCCGGTGTGGGAACACCTGTTTTAGATTCCTGGTCAGTTGAACATCGCAGCTTTTACAAAATTCTCAAAGACAATTTAAATAAAAGATATAAATTGCCCTCTCGTATTTGTTGCCTTATTACAAGAGAATATATAATACACGACGTGCTGTTCATGTCACAAGTATCGTATTATATGCCTTACTTGTGTTTTCCCGATAAATAGGAAACGTCTTCATACTACAACGTCCAATATGTCTTGTGGTTAGGATTTGGCGCTTTCACCGCCAAGGCCCAGGTTTAATTCCCGGTGTGGGAACACCTGTTTTAGATTCCTGGTCAGTTGAACATCGCAGCTTGTATAAAATGCTCATAGATAATTTAATTAAAAGGTATAAATTGGCCTCTCGTATTTGTTGCCTTATTACAAGAGAATATATAATACACGACGTGCAGTTCATGTCACAAGTATCCTATTATATGCCTTACTTGTGTTTTCCCGATAAATAGGAAACGCCTTCATACGACAACGTCCCATATGGTCTAGTGGTTAGATTTGGCGCTTTCAACGCCAAGGCTCGGGTTCAATTCCCGGTGTGGGAACACCTGTTTTAGATTCCTGGTTAGTTGAACATCGCAGCTTGTAAAAAATGTTCAGAGTCAATTTAATTAAAAGATATAAATTGGCCTCTCGTATTTGTTGCCTTATTACAAGAGAATATATAATACACAACGTGCAGTTCATGTCACAAGTATCCTATTATATGCCTTACTTGTGTTTTCCCGATAAATAGGAAACGCCTTCATACGACAACGTCCCATATGGTCTAGTGGTTAGATTTGGCGCTTTCACCGTCAAGGCTCGGGTTCAATTCCCGGTGTGGGAACATCTGTTTTAGATTCCTGGTCAGTTGAACATCGCAGCTTTTACAAAATTCTCAAAGACAATTTAAATAAAAGATATAAATTGGCCTCTCGTATTTGTTGCCTTATTACAAGAGAATATATAATACACGACGTGCAGTTCATGTCACAAGCATCCGATTGTATGCCATACTTGTTTTTTCCTGATAAATAGGAAACGCCTTCATACGACAACATCCCATATGTCTTGTGGTTAGGATTTGGCGCTTTCACCGCCAAGGCTCGGGTTCAATTCCCGGTGTGGGAACACCTGTTTTAGATTCCTGGTCAGTTGAACATCGCAGCTTGTACAACATTCTCAAAGACAATTTAAATAAAAGATATAAATTGGCCTCTCGTAGTTGTTGCCTTATTACAAGAGAATATATAATACACGACGTGCAGTTCATGTCACAAGTATCGTATTATATGCCTTACTTGGGTTTTCCCGATAAATAGGAAACGCCTTCAAATGTCGTCGTCCCATATGGTCTAGTGGTTAGGATTTGGCGCTTTCACTGCCAAGGCCCGGATTCAATTCCTGGGGTAGGAACACCTGTTTTAGATTCCTGGTCAGTTGAACATCGCAGCTTGTATAAAATGCTCATAGACAATTTAATTAAAATATATAAATTGGCCGCTCGTCTTTGTTGCCTTATTACAAGAGAATATATAATACACGACGTGCAGTTCATGTCACAACTATCCGATTGCATGCCATACTTGTGTTTTCCCGATAAATAGGAAACGCCTTCAAATGTCATCGTCCCATATGGTCTAGTGATTAGGATTTGGCGCTTTCAACGCCAAGGCTCGGATTCAATTCCCGGTGTGGGAACACCTGTTTTAGATTCCTGGTCAGTTGAACATCGCAGCTTTTACAAAATTCTCAAAGAAAATTTAAATAAAAGATATAAATTGCCCTCTCGTATTTGTTGCCTTATTACAAGAGAATATATAATACACGACGTGCTGTTCATGTCACAAGTATCGTATTATATGCCTTACTTGTGTTTTCCCGATAAATAGGAAACGTCTTCATACGACAACGTCCAATATGTCTTGTGGTTAGGATTTGGCGCTTTCACCGCCAAGGCCCAGGTTTAATTCCCGGTGTGGGAACACCTGTTTTAGATTCCTGGTCAGTTGAACATCGCAGCTTGTATAAAATGCTCATGGACAATTTAATTAAAAGATATAAATTGGCCTCTCGTATTTGTTGCCTTATTACAAGAGAACATATAATACACGACGTGCAGTTCATGTCACAAGTATCCTATTATATGCCTTACTTGTGTTTTCCCGATAAATAGGAAATGCCTTAATACGACAACGTCCCATATGGTCTAGTGGATTAGGATTTGGCGCTTTCACCGCCAAGGCCCGGATTCAATTCCCGGTGTGGGAATACCTGTTTTAGATTCCTGGTCAGTTGAACATCGCAGCTTGTATAAAATTCTCAAAGACAATTTAATTAAAAGATATAAATTGGCCTCTCGTATTTGTTGCCTTATTACAAGAGAATATATAATACACGACTTGCAGTTCTTGTCCCAAGCATCCGATTGTATGCCATACTTGTGTTTTCCCGATAAATATGTATCGCCTTCATACGGCAACGACCCATATGGTCTAGTGGTTAGGATTTGGCGCTTTCACCGCCGAGGCCCGGGTTCAATTCCCGGTGTGGGAACACCTGTTTTAGATTCCTGGTCAGTTGAACATCGCAGCTTGTATAAAATTATCATTGACAATTTAATTAAAAGATATAAATTAGCTTCTCGTATTTGTTGGCTTGATTACAAGATAATATATAATATTCGACATTCAGTTCATGTCACAAGCATCCGATTGTATGCCATACTTGTGTTTTCCCGATAAATAGGAAACGCCTTCATACGACAACGTACCATATGTCTAGTGGTTAGGATTTGGCGCTTTCACCGACATAGCCCTGGTTCAATTCCCGGTATGGGAACACCTGTTTTAGATTCCTGGTCAGTTGAACATCGCAGCTTGTATAATATGCTCATAGACAATTTAATTAAAAGATATAAATTGGCCTCTCGTATTTGTTGCCTTATTACAAGAGAATATATAATACACGACGTGCAGTTCATGTCACAAATATCCTATTATATGCCTTACTTGTGTTTTCCCGATAAATAGGAAACGGCTTCATACGACAACGTCCCATATGGTCTAGTGGTTAGATTTGGCGCTTTCACCGCCAAGGCCCGGGTTCAATTCCCGGTGTGGGAACACCTGTTTTAGATTCCTGGTCAGTTGAACATCGCAGCTTGTATAAAATTCTCATAGACAATTTAATTAAAAGATATAAATTGGCCTCTCGTATTTGTTGCCTTATTACAAGAGAATATATAATACACGACTTGCAGTTCATGTCCCAAGCATCCGATTGTATGCCATACTTGTGTTTTCCCGATAAATATGTATCGCCTTCATACGGCAACGACCCATATGGTCTAGTGGTTAGGATTTGGCGCTTTCACCGCCGAGGCCCGGGTTCAATTCCCGGTGTGGGAACACCTGTTTTAGATTCCTGGTCAGTTGAACATCGCAGCTTGTATAAAATTATCATTGACAATTTAATTAAAAGATATAAATTAGCTTCTCGTATTTGTTGGCTTGATTACAAGATAATATATAATATTCGACATTCAGTTCATGTCACAAGCATCCGATTGTATGCCATACTTGTGTTTTCCCGATAAATAGGAAACGCCTTCATACGACAACGTACCATATGTCTAGTGGTTAGGATTTGGCGCTTTCACCGACATAGCCCTGGTTCAATTCCCAGTATGGGAACACCTGTTTTAGATTCCTGGTCAGTTGAACATCGCAGCTTGTATAATATGCTCATAGACAATTTAATTAAAAGATATAAATTGGCCTCTCGTATTTGTTGCCTTATTACAAGAGAATATATAATACACGACGTGCAGTTCATGTCACAACTATCCGATTGCATGCCTTACTTGTGTTTTCCCGATAAATAGGAAACGCCTTCAAATGTCATCGTCCCATATGGTCTAGTGGTTAGGATTTGGCGCTTTCACCGCAAGGCTCGGGTTCAATTCCCGGTGTGGGAACACCCGTTTTAGATTCCTGGTCAGTTGAACATCGCAGCTTGTACAAAATTCTCAAAGACAATTTAATTAAAAGATATAAATTGGCCTCTCGTATTTGTTGCCTTGTTACAAGAGAATATATAATACACAACGTGCGGTTCATGTCACAAGCATCCGATTGTATGCCATACTTGTGATTTCCCGATAAATAGGAAACGCCTTCATACGACAACGTCCCATATGTCTTGTGGTTAGGATTTGGCGCTTTCACCGCCAAGGCCCGTGATCAATTTCCGGTGTGGGAACAGCCGTTTTAGATTCCTGGTCAGTTGAACATCGCAGCTTGTTTAAAATGCTCATAGACAATTTAATTAAAAGATATAAATTGGCGTCTCGTATTTGTTGCCTTATTACAAGAGAATATATAATGCACGACGTGCAGTTCATGTCACAAGTATCCTGTTAAATGCCTTACTTGTGTTTTCCCGATAAATAGGAAACGCCTTCAAATGTCAACGTCCCATATGCTCTAGTGGTTAGGATTTGGCGCTTTCACCGCCAAGGCTCGGGTTCAATTCCCGGTGTGGGAACACCCGTTTTAGATTCCTGGTCAGTTGAACATCGCAGCTTGTACAAAATTCTCAAAGACAATTTAATTAAAAGATATAAATTGGCCTCTCGTATTTGTTGCCTTGTTACAAGAGAATATATAATACACAACGTGCGGTTCATGTCACAAGCATCCGATTGTATGCCATACTTGTGATTTCCCGATAAATAGGAAATGCCTTCATACGACAACGTCCCATATGTCTTGTGGTTAGGATTTGGCGCTTTCACCGCCATGGCCCGGGTTAAATTTCCGGTGTGGGAACACCTGTTTTAGGTTCCTGGTCAGTTGAACATCGCAGCTTGTACAAAATTCTCAAAGACAATTTAAATAAAAGATATAAATTGGCCTCTCGTATTTGTTGCCTTATTACAAGAGAATATATAATACACGACGTGCAGTTCATGTCACAAGTATCGTATTATATGCCTTACTTGCGTTTTCCCGCTAAATAGGAAACGCCTTCATACGACAACGTCCCATTTGTCTAGTGGTTAGGATTTGGCGCTTTCACCGCCAAGGCCCGTGTTCAATTCCCGGTGTGGGAACACCCGTTTTAGATTCCTGGTCAGTTGAACATCGCAGCTTGTATAAAATGCTCATAGACAATTTAATTAAAAGATATAAATTGGCGTCTCGTATTTGTTGCCTTATTACAAGAGAATATATAATGCACGACGTGCAGTTCATGTCACAAGTATACTATTAAATGCCTTACTTGTGTTTTCCCGATAAATAGGAAACGCCTTCATATGTCAACGTCCCATATGCTCTAGTGGTTAGGATTTGGCGCTTTCACCGCCAAGGCTCGGGTTCAATTCCCGGTGTGGGAACACCGGTTTTAGATTCCTGGTCAGTTGAACATCGCAGCTTGTACAAAATTCTCAAAGACAATTTAAATAAAAGATATAAATTGGTCTCTCGTATTTGTTGCCTTATTACAAGAGAATATATAATACACGACGTGCAGTTCATGTCACAAGTATCGTATTATATGCCTTACTTGTGTTTTCCCGATAAATAGGAAACGCCTTCATACGACAACGTCCCATATGGTCTTGTGGTTAATATTTGGCGCTTTCACCGCCAAGGCCCGGGTTCAATTCCCGGTTTGGGAATACCTGTTTTAGATTCCTGGTGATGAA